TTATGTAAAGAGAAGTGTAAAATTATTTTCAATTTAATAAATTAACTTTCTTTGCCTCGGAAATAAATTCCAAATATTCCTTTAATTCGTCAAACATTTCGGACAACCAAATAGTTTCAGTGTAGAGATGGTAGAACTCGTAGAAGCTAAAACACTTCAAGAGCAGCTGTCCCCCGGCACATGTAAACAGTTTAAATTTTCAAAGCAATGTGCTAATTTCAAATCAATTACATGACGTGACGACGACACTTTTCCAAAAAACAGGCCTAGAGGCTCAAACCCCCTAGTTTAAATTCCAGATGCTGGCATTGAAATTTTCTAGGCATCGAGACAAAAGGCAAGCAAATAGCAATCGAAAATGCGTACAAGTCAGTAATGTTTGGCAACAGTTGTTGTGAAAAGTTTTTGCCTGTCTAAAGTGGATTTACTTATGGCAGAAAGTTGCAGCCAATACCAATGCCACTACGAATACAAAAGCATCAAGGCCCTCTATTCATTTTCCAACCATTTTCGCCACACGGAAAAAATATATATTTTGTTACAATAAATATTAAACAAAAGCCTTAGAAATTAGAGAAGCTGTATGTTATATGTGTTATATGTATGTTATGTCATGTGTTAATACACATGATAGTGGCTTATTAATTGAAAAAAGACCCATGAAAATCTCTTTTTACTTTTCAACAATCATCTAAAAAAAACGACAAAACTAAATTTTAAATATTTTTTCTCACTGCACCCGATGTAAAATGTTTTCCTGTAAAGAAGAGACAAAAAATAAATATCGGCTTGGGGGAAAACTTTTGTTAGTGCTACATTCGGCGACACAGCAAACTGCCAAATTGAAGGCATCTGCCTGTGGTTGAGTGGGTTGGTGGTTTCGGATGGTTTTGGGTGGTCCTGGGTGCTTTTGGGCGGTTTCCCTCAAAGATGAGGTAGACTTAGTGCCATGTCGTCTTGCCTCCTCGATTTCAGGCTTGAAGTCCCCACACACATAAGTTTCACAAAAAGCAACGGAAACTGAGACTGGTAAAAAGCAACAGTTTTTTCTGCACTGAAAGAATTCAAGGAAGTATGGGACTGAACTTGAAAACGAAAGTTGTTCAACAACACCAAGCACTATTTGTTAGTTAAAATTTTGTTACGATCTCAAAATCACAATGGTGGAGAAGAATCCCTTTCAAGGGATTTGGTGGTAACTTTTTTAAAAACGAGAAATATGTCTGTAAAAGAACTATTTCCTAAGGTTACAGTGAAAGAGTTTAAGAGTGAAAGAGATTTTAAATTAAAACACCTTATAAAAGCTTAACAGAAAAAACTTTCGAACACAAAAATAATTTAATTGTACCTTTATTTCAGTAATAAAAAAAAAATACTTTTATCTTAATTTTTTTTTAATGTATAAGTTATTTAAGAATGTTAGCATATGTAAAGCTATATTTTTGGATCAATCAAATTATTTTGAGCTGCAAAAAATAGAACAAATTTTGAAGTTCAATCAGCTAAAATAATAACTTCTTAACAAAAAAGGCAAGTTATCGCATTCACAAAATCAAATCGGCATTTTCGCATGCCCCAAAAGAAACCAAATCAGCTGGAAGAACATTATTGATATGTTGAACATTATACTATACGCCCTTTAATAAACTATTTAGGCATCATTGATTTTCCATGGGATTCACTCAAAGTGCAGAAATGTTTTTACATCCTATTACATATATACTCAGATATATATACTCGTACATACAAGATTCAACAGGCCCACATTTTCCCGGACACTTTCCATTCCTTTTCATTTTATTTGGCTTAAATAAATACATTCAAGTGAATATGGCGCTGGGTGACTGTGCCATGTTCTTTATGGTAAAAAGTTCAGGACGTCAAGGCAAAGTCGAGTCGGTAAATATATGTGTTTGTTCAGACACACTCGCACGCACAAGTACGTATGTACATAATTTAGTGAACTTGAAACTTGCCTGCTGGTCGTGGTGCGGCATATATATTTGTATATCGGATGTTAAGGAAATGTCCGAAATGTCGCCCCCACCAACGAAGGCAGACAGAGGAGAAAAATAAAGGAGGAGCGCAAGGAAATTTCATGCTAAGTAATTTATACCGGCACACACAGTGGTTGCCAAAAACGTAGAGGCCATTGCTTTCACGTTTCATTCAACTTTAGTTAATTAAAATGAAAAGCATCTTCTCTGCCTCGAACAAATGTTGTCCAACCAAATAGCTCAGCAACTATTATTCATGAATTAAGCAAATGTTAAAATACAATTTTAATAAATGTAATGGATCGAGCTCAAAAACATTTTTAAATATATGAATTTAATTCTCTTATCGGCAGTCTTGGGAAAAGTGTTATTTATTTGAGAAGAAAGGTACCTAGGTCAGATGAAAGGTACACAGTTTGTAAGTAAAAAGTATCAAAAAGTTAAAAAAAAACAATCATTTTTTAATACATTTTTTTTAATTTGTAGGGAATTTGTTCTTTACAAAGTTGTAGGTGAATTAGGATATTGTGTATCTTTACCTATAGGTAAGGTATATGGTATCAAAAAATGTTACAGGTACAGGTACGTAGGTACTTTTAAATGTATGTGGACAGTACTATTGCCCATTTTAGAGATTTATAAACATTAACTTTTATCGGCACCAAACAAATGATTTAAAAGCACGAAACACTGCTAGAAAGTACATTAATTAATACATTTTAGTTTAACGGAAAGTTAATTTCTGTATGTTTTTATCTATTAAACGTAAGTTAATAAGGCAAATATTTCTTAAAGGAATCAAAAAACAATAACGATAATTTTCCTTTAAGTTTTCTGATTTACAATATTTTCGTTTACGTTTTAGAAACCACTGTGCGTGTGTGTAAGTGTGGGCGGAACTCACATAAAAAGAAGTGCATTATATGTGAGTGTAACACCAGTAAAGAAAAGAAGAGCAGTATCAGCTTATTAAAGATTTAAAAAATATAGCATGCAGCGCAGGAAAACGGCAGGAAATTGATATGCACTTACCGGCAACACGGAAGTAAAATAAAAAAATTAAAATTATTGCAAAGTAAAAGCGAAGAGAGGGAAACAAAGGGATTCAGGCAGGGAAAAGAAAAAGGCAGTTGTTAAGTATGCTAAGAATAATATAATATTATATACATTCTTGATCAGAATCACTAGAATATTCGATCTAGCCATGTCCGTTTGTCGGTTTTAAATCTATATGCATTAAACTTTCCCAAAAGTTGTCTTCCTGTTGCAGCTAGTATATAAGTCAGAACGAGCCGGATCGGACGACTATAGCATATAGCTCCCATTAGAACAATCAAAATAAAATTATACCTTTTCTGTTTTTTAATTTTTTTTTAGACATGGTTTGTTGTTTCAGAATTATAGAATAATGTTCCCATTGAAAAAATCGGAGTATTAAAAAAAAAATAAAATAAAAATTCGAACTTCTCTAATTGTTAATTTTATTTTCTAATTCTTTTGGTCGTAGGAATGGCTTAACTATTCAAAATTACGCATTTGATTTTATTCAAATCGGATAACGATATAATATAGCTGCGATAGAAACGATCGAATAATTGGGGTGAAAATCATCAAAGTTTTCTCTCTTAATATATAGAGCAATTTCTAATTTCAAATAGTCAACATTATAAAGCTGGAAATATCTCTGTATAAAAGAATATGAGGAGACCATAAGGACATACAGAAAAAGATAGTAGTGTACTTCATTTTTCTTTGTTTTTTGTTTAGCCACCTGTGTGGCAAATTGAAAGATAATAACGCAGACGGAACAGGATACTGGAGAAAAGGTGAGTGAAGTGCCCAAAATGAAGCGCAGCAGAAGTCCCAAGCTACCAAAGGAAATCAATTTCCTTCACTTCGCATCAATCACACATGAACTCTGATTGGAAGCAAATCGCAAGTAAACAATGGATGTAATGACGATGAGAAAACGTAATCGATACGCTGGTTGCTCATTTTTTCGATTATTGAATTGATTAAAATTTTGTTGTCTTTTGCAGTGTCAAAACAATCAATTTCAAAGACAACAAAATTAATATTATCAGAGAATTCAATTTCAGTTCAATTATTTTGGTCTCTGTCAGTTTTCCCTCAATTTAAAATCCAGTACAGCAAACAAAGTCATATGGAAAGAAAAGAAAGAAGTAAAATACAAAAACGAACGTTACTTGTGTAAAAGCCTTGTAAACAAACAAGAAAAAAAACTTAGAAATTCTTAAAACCATTTAAATTTTGTATTTTATTGTTGTTATCCCAAAAAGTTCCATGAAAATCTACTCATTACTTCTTCATATTTCGAAGTTGTGCCTCTTTACTTTCTTATAGTTAAAAAGTAAATAAATAATAATATATTTATATGTATTCGATTTGTCTTAACATTTTACAACTTCTTTATCCTATTGACTTTTCTTGAATTAAATTTAATTATTGAAAGTTAACATTTAAAATCTGCTCAAATATTACCCAAATTAAATGAAATATTTTTCCTTATAAAAGTATTTTTGACCAGTGAGTGGGTGGATTTCGCCCTAACCGACAAATGCAGCGTTTGTCCACTTTCATTCCTTAACCGCATTGCCACCGAATTTTTGGACAGCTTTTGCAACGCATGCTTCCAATTACGCAAGCAATTTCATTTTACGACACTTATCAAACGCTTCACGCAACATAAAACAGCCGGACATTAAATAGTACTCGGTTAGAGGACCAAAAAATCGCATGCGAAATAAACTAGTCTGGATTCCCATTCGCCTGGAATAGCAAAATAATCCTGGCAACTGGAAAAAATCAGATGATTGCGTGGGCGGGAGTTTTGAATTAAATAACCGTTTGATAGGACCAAACTAAATAAATTTTTGTTTCTATTATTTATGATTTAATGAAAAGGAAAATATTTATTTAAATTTAATATTTTTATTTAATTTACGATGATAATAAAGTTTAACTGATCTTGAAGATATATTATTGTATTTGTAATTATTTATTTGTATACTAGCTTTAAGTAATACATTAGTTGCCTTTTTGAAGATTCTTTACAAAGTATATTTTTGAGATACATCATAACAGGATTTGTGGTGCAAATTGTCCAAAAAATTAACTTGTATACATTTAGCACTCTTTTGTATAACAATAAAATAGCTGCCATTCGGAAAAAGGGAAATTTTATCAACGTCCTGCAGTGGTAATTTTGCTGTGCAGTGGGCCAACCGAGCGTTTTAAGACTATTTTAAAGTTCTCACTAACCGTGTAGTCCTCCTTAAATACCACAACCAGATTCAGTTCAAACTCTAAAAAAAATGGAAATAGGGATTACATGAGGAATAATGGATAATTTAATAATGATAATGCTTTGCAGATCAACTTTTACAGACTAAATTTTAATAGTTAAACTTCGGGGGAAAAGGGAAATGTAATAAGAAAGAGAAACTGAAACTGAAACCTTTGAAGTTCTTTGGTTTGACTACCAATGAATGTATAGTACAACAAGATATAAAACATCCTTACCGATTTTGAAGTTCTTTGTGAGGAGCGTTGGGCAGGTGAACAATCTGGGCAGAACCATGTAAATGGGGAGCTCTAACTTCGGCAGCACATTGCCATCAGCTATTTGTATAGTCTGGATTTCGGTGGCATCTTTGGAGTAGCCCTCATCGCAACCGCAGGTTTCCACTCGAACCAATTGCATTTCGATGGACTTAATGGCAGCCTCCGTGTGTTGGACAGTAATGCTGCCGGTGATCGGGGTGGTTACACAGGATTCACTCCGATCCAGACGTCCAGTGATCAGGAATCTCGGCATGGACAATCTCTCCTTGGCGCTGGCATTCTTTTGCAACGAGTCCGGACTCAAGCTGAAGGGCACAACCTTCTGGGAATCCTCGCTCAAAGCCACTGGCTTATACTGCACGCAGAACTGCTGGATTCTGGTCATGGATTTGCCCAGAAAATTGCGCTTCATGGTGCAATTGAGCTGGTAATTAACGTTGATGAAAACACCATGGTATGTTTCGTACAATATTCGCGGCTCCTTTTTGCACACCAAAGGCAATTCGAAGTGGAACTCCGAGCGGCCGGCGCTCAATTTTCCGGGGGCCGATAGCTCCAGGCTATTCTGCAGCAGATTAATGGGCTTCACTGAGTTGTAGAAAGCATCAAATAATCCCACAGTTTTGGCACTCAATTGCAGATTAACGATTCCTTCAAGATACAACATAATTCCTTCATGTTTCGTCTCCTGCGAGCACTGAAACTGTACGCAGCCCAAAAGCATGTCCTGGGAAAAAAACAATATGATTAAATAACACTCTAACTATATGGATTAACTTACATTTTCATAGTAAACCTTATTCTCTCTCTTTAATTTAATATCAAAGAGCAAGGAACCCATTTTAATCAGCAAACGAAAACAAATAAAACAGCTGATTTAAACAGTGTCGATCTGGCATCCCTGGCCACAGCTGTCTAGCAAGTTTGCAGCCCTCTTTAACATAAAATCAAAACAAATTTGTTTTTATATAAGTTTTATTAGATATTTGATAATTTTTTAAGCACTAATGCCACGTAATCTGAATGCCGAGAGGGACAATCCCTGCCTGAAGGTTGGTTTATTTACAGTGGTTAACAGCTTAAAAAATCGAGTGCATGTATTTAACTTCCACGCTACATACCGGTAAAACTAAACAGCATATTGAAATCATAAAATCAACAAGATTCCAAATAAAAGAACAATTTCCCGAGATAATAACTTTATTTTTATTTATTGCAAGCTGTGAGCAATTGAGTTAAAATAACACAAAATCTTTCCAAAAATAGGAACAGGAGCTATCGTTCAAATGCCTCAACAAAAACAACTTTGATCACGAGAAGTGCGAAGTATATTTTGCGAATTATAATAACTGCAAAGAGTTTTGGGTAAACAAATTAAATAAAATTTAAAATAATTAAAGTGATTGCCAAAACATTATTTTTTTACAGAACAAAGTTAAAAGTGAGCGAAGAGCCAAGGGACTAGCTCCATATCTACCGCCGTTGGAGGAACGAGAAGCTATTAAGGCCGAATATATGAAAGGAAAACCGCAGCAGAACTGATATAATAAGCTATTTAATTACTTTTGTATATAAATAAATTAGACTTCAACTGCCAAATCTTTTATACTATTATATATACTTTAAAAACAGTGATTTCTAATCTCTTATGATTATATTCAAGGGTTTTAATTGACATTAAAAAACGTAAAAAACATAGATTCAAATCAATATGTTCAGAAGTAACAGACCAAGTTGGTATTAGATTTGTAAAAACATTTCTACTATAATTTAATTTCAAAAATCCTAAGCTACACATTAACAAATTTAGCCGTGAATAACATCGGCACCCACAACTTTTAGAGTGGGCATGGACTCCTCCAACATGGCCGTGGCCAATTCCAACTCCAGACTACCCTTGGGATCATCCAGGATAAGCAATTTAAGCTGCGGCAGGCGATAGAGGCAGGCAAGTCCATTGGTGGTAATTTCAGTGCCCGAAAGATCGAGCACCTCCAGATGCGGAAATCCACCACCCGAAATCCTGTCCAGACACCAGTCATCAAAGGTTTTTACGTTGTGAAAGGACAGGAACTTAAGGGAGTCCAGGCAGCGCAGGTTCTCCAATCCCTCGTAGTAAAGGGTCATGTTGTCACACCGCAAAGCCTCCACTTTGTAAGCGGGATCAAACTTGTTGGGCAGATTGAATTCCCCATCCTCGTTGGCCCGATGCCAGCGGGAGTCGTTGATGAACTTGGCGGCGCCTCCGCGAAACAGGATGAAATGTGCCGCAGCCAATTCGGCGCCCAGAATTTTGTGTCTATCCGGGATGAACTGCTGCATGTGCCGCTCGATCCGCTCCTTCCGGTTGTCCCACCACTGCCGCATGTTTCTGGGACTCAAGTCGATGGGTCTCTGCATCATCACAATAAAATCGGAGGTCTGCTCCGAGTTGGAGAACAGTTTCAGCTTGCTGCTCCAATCCTCCGGCCGGTCGCCAATCGGAGATCTCCATTTTAGTTTCTGCTTATCGGCGGCCAATTCCGCGTGAATCCTCTTCACCGTGGCACTGACCTCTGCCTCCTCACCCGGCTGTGCCTGATTTGTGGGCAGGGTGGAGGACATGCGACTGCCATATCGCCCCAGGGATAAAAATCCACGCGACAGGCGCTGCAACATGTTTTTAGATGGATTTTAGTGAATAAATGTTGGAGAGCTCCGCCTAGAGATGCGCACGTTACATGACCTCTAGCGTGACTCACGATGTACACTTTATTTATTTACGGAAGAGAATAATTTATTAAAACAGAAGATAATGTTTATGTTGTTTGATATATCTATACCCAATTGTCTGTTTTACCTGAGTTAAAGATTAAAAATATTAGATTACAATGACTATACAAATATCTCAGTTTTTGCAATTTTAATATTTAAAAAACAACTGGCTCGTAAATTTAGATTTAGATGTAGTTTAGTTTTTAATTTATAGTTATCTATTTGAATTGTGTTGTTAATAATAACATTAAGTGTCCTTATTTTATGAATGTCAATATTGCAAAAGCATCATTTTATTTTATTTTAATCAAAAATAAGCAAGACAACCATATATAACAAAATATACCTCAATATGTAGTATCAAAAAAAAAAGAACTACCTAAGACGAACTATTTTGAAATACAATTTCAGATGTCTTAACTTATGATTTTTCAATCAAATCTGATAAGTTTTATAAATATTTTTAAATGTAAACTAACCTCGTGCGTGAGTGCACTTGGAAATCGCAGCAGCTGACGGATCAGCTGCTAGCACTGACTTTTGTGCCGAGTTGACAGCCCCAAGCTAATGCGACGCCATTTTGCTTTTGCGTGCTGTCAAACGCTGAATTTCACATTTCCACCACAGAAAAAAACGCAGACGACTTTTACTCAAGTGCGTGAGATACCACCGAAAAACAGAGCTAAATCACTTAAATGCTGATTAACCGCCAACCAAACGATTGAACCCATCGGCAGCGAGGCGAACGCCGCAGAAACCTGCCGAAAATTACGTGAATCAGCAACGCAAGGGCAACCCGTGCAATTGACAATTTTAATTGGCTATAAATCTGCGGAGAGCGCGCTACAAAATGGTCAATTCGTCTGGCAGCGAGGATGGCCAGTTGAGGAGCCCCAACGACGGACATTATCACAGGTGTGTATAATCCAGGGGGTCCTGGGAAACCTCGAGACTCGATTCTCAATATGCGATTCATGGAAAATTGTTGCTGCATACACACAAAGAGGCGTACATATACACACGAGTGCTGGCAACGCGTCGGGAATCCCGTTAAAAATTCCTGTCATATTTTAGCGATACCCCGGCATTGCCATATCTCATCCACAAACAGTTGCGGTCCCAATACTAGTGACAAATATTTCAAAAATGATAAGAATAGTTTTATAGCAAATTCCACTTTATTTACCTTACTATAAGCTTACTTAAGGAATCGGAGCATTAACAGTTTGCTTTGTACTTAATATAAAATGAAATTTTTAATTTTGCTTAGGATGTATGTTAGTATGTTATAAGTTTATGCTTGAGTAAGGTAATTTAACTGAAAGTGTTTTTTTTTTTCTTTGCTTTTTCAATTAGAAGATGTCTTATCTATTACGTTTGTTTAATTTGTTTGCTTCAAATTTTTTTGTTCAAAGAAATTAATGCCGAATTTACCATATTATATATCAATCAAAGACAAAGAACAAATTTTGAACGCACTCGTACAAATAACTGTTGCATGTGTGTGTATGCAGAGGGTGGACAATTTTCCCCCCACCATCTTGATCTGTTGACTATAACGAATTGTACATGCTAATTCTATAATATTGCAAGTAAATTTGCGTTTGTAAAAATATACATTCGCCCCCAATATATATATATATATATATAAATCATCCCAACATTCCTTTCGTGCTTGTTTGCTCTCCTTGATAATAATAACAAAAATACCAAACCAATGAAAACAAAACCAATTTATGACGATTAAAAAATTTATTGAATTTATTGAACCCTTTAATTGACTTGAATTTTTTCGTTGCAAATAGGCCAAAAAGTGTGTACTTGTCCCATGACCGAGGCGCGCGATGGCCAACAACAATACCTAATAATTATCATAATAAAAAAAAAACCAACAAAGCTATTATAAAAACCAAAACCAAAACCAAAATGAAAATGAAAACGAAAGAAAAATGTGCAAGCAGCAGTTATGAAAAATTCGAGTTTAAAACTGTGCACCTGCAGTGTCAACGGCAGATGGAATCGAATCTTCTCAAGCCAACCACGCTAATCTCGCTTGACCCGCCGCTGGCTCATTAAATGTGTTCCGAGAATCGAATACCAAACACCAGAGAATCGAGACGAGATCCGATAAGCTCCGAACCGATCGATCGATCCGATCTCTCTCATGTGCTGCTGGCGGTAAATTGTAATAACCTGTAACTCAATTGAATCAAACACAAACAATATTTGTAAACTATCTTTGCTAATGCCTCTTTCCAAGTCCTGTCTCAATGTCTTTCGTGTCTCTCTGTCTCTCAAAAGATAACTCCCATTCCCAGCAGGTTGCGCAGTCAGTTGTGTAAGTGTTTGCATTTTACAGCCCTTGGGAGTCTCGAAGCAACGAGCTCCATGGAATAGTCACGGGATTCCCAAAATCAGGTAAGTACTCCATTTGAATGCTCTCAATGGTGGGGCGTTTTGATTTTTGGGCGCAACAAGTAATTGATTCACTTTAACTTCTTAACGCAGGCCAATACAATGTAAGTTCTATGGTACTACTTAAAGTATATCTAGCAACTGGCGGATTTTACACGACCAATGTATCATTTAATTAGTTTTATATTGATTTATTGTTTGTAAAACTTTTGGAAATCGGAATTTTAAAGGCCTTAGTTAAAAAGGAAAATAAAAAAAATTAATGTATCATGTTTTTTTTAGAAGCTTAACACTTTTTTTAATATTCAAATCAATATAAATTACTTGTTGTCTCCATGATTTCTGAAATGGTTCATGTCCCACCTAATTGCACTCGTTGGTGTTCAGTTGTGGAATAAAACCTCCATTTATCTGAGCAACTCCGAACTGATTGCCTCAAATAAATACTAAATAATTCGCTTATGTACTGCACCAAAGAATTTGTATCTAATCTCGAAAGAATTCCAGAGCTAGCGTGGACTCGAGTTTTAAATGGCCTCCAAGGGCAAGTGTAAAATGTAATCCGCAACACCGACTGCAGCAACGTGCAACCTGCTACAAGCAACATGGTCAGAGCAGCGCCTGGGTCAACTGGGTCAACGTCAGGCATCGGTCCAGAATCATCAGCAGATGGGACACCACTTAAAACATGACACCATAATTTTGGACTTTCTCTCTTACTTTTAGCCGAGGCGAAGATGATGAGCACGAGGCGGACGCCGATGCTCTGTACATACAACCACCGCAGGCGAGCCGGGAACTGGGCTCCGGGTCCAGGCGTGAGAAGAAGAAACATTCCCGCGAACGTCGACGCCACAAGGACCGTGAAGATGTAGGCGCCGGCGGAGGATTAGGACCGGATCGTGATCATCGCTATGAATATCGGAACAGGGAGGAACACTACCATCACCACCATCGCGAAAGGGGTGGCAATGTGGCTGCCGCATATCCGAAACATCACCTGGGCCACGCCTACCACTACCCACAGCCGCCGCAACAACAGCAGCAACCGCTGCCGCCGGCTCCCAGCTATGCTGCCCATCACCATCATCATCATCAGCATTTAGGCGGAGCTCGAGCCGCTCCCCGTGGCGATTACCATTCCTATCCCTCGGGCTACCATTCGAGCAGTCGCCACGGCGACTATCCCATGGAGGAGCCACCGCGACGAGGCAGCAAATACGCGGAGAGCAAGGATGCGGAGAGCCTGGAGCAAGACCTGCGTTCCAGGCTGCTTAAAAAGCGGCATAACTACGTTAAGGACTACGAAACGGAGGAGAATTACGAGCATCGCGGCGAGAGGAGTGAGCGGCGGGAGAGTGGACGCAAGGAACGTGAGCGATCTGGTCGGAGTAGCCACAAGCAAAATCGTCACGATCGCGTCATCGAGCTGCTGGACAGTCCGGAGCCAGAGCACCAACATCAGCATCAACACCAGCACAAGTCGCATCGCAGCAAATGGCGCGAAGAGGTGGAGGTCAACAGAAGAAAGGTGCCCGAGGACTTGGAATTGCTGGCCCGCAGGGAGAAACTGCTTGCCGCCGAGCGTGATAGCCGCCAGCGGAAGCAGACGGCTCGTGAGGAACTGGAAGCTCGTCGGGAGTTGCTCCGAGAGCGAAACGAGCACAGTGATGCACTGAGTCCAACGACAGTGGCTGCAAGCGTAACCGCTGGCTTAAACATTCAAGTCAAGAGGAAATCTAAGCCGGATAACTACGAAAAGGAGATCAAGCACAAGAAGCGACGGGAAGAGGTTGTTGAGGTCATCCGGGATGATGAGGATGAGGATGAGGAAAGCGAACAGAGCGACTCCAACGAGGAGGATCCCGAAGAAGACAGCGCCGAGAGCGGCACAGAGTCGGGCAGCGATGAAAGCTATGCTAGCAAAAAGAAGAGCAAGATAAAAGCCAAACCCCAGCTGGATGATGATGACGACGAGGATCTGCCCTTGCCCGACAGTCCACTCAGCGTGGGTGAACTCTACAAGTCGCCCAAGCAGCGCCAGCGTTCCCGCTCTGTCAGTTCCAAGAGCAGTTCTCAGTCCAGTCGTAGCAGTCGCTCTCGATCTCGTTCCAGAAGCCAGAGCAGCCTCGAGGATGCGGAGGACCGGCAGGACGCAGGAACAGCTGCTTCACCCAGCAGTAGTACGCGCAGCGAGGAGCGCGGCATGTCGCAACAGGAGCAGGAAGAGAAGCCCGAGGATAAACTGAAGGACAAGGCACTGAAATTGCCGGAGGAGCAGACTCCTTGCGACGACAAGGGTGTGCCCCTGCCCAACTATTATCCCGGTGTGCAGGGCTGCCGCTCTGTGGAGGAATTCCAGTGCCTCAATCGTATTGAGGAGGGAACTTATGGCGTGGTTTACCGTGCTAAGGACAAAAGAACCAACGAGATTGTGGCCCTTAAGCGACTTAAAATGGAGAAGGAAAAGGAGGGCTTTCCCATCACATCGCTCAGGGAAATCAACACCCTTCTCAAGGGTCAACATCCGAATATCGTTACCGTTCGCGAGATCGTTGTCGGCTCCAACATGGACAAGATCTTTATTGTGATGGACTATGTGGAGCATGACCTTAAGTCGCTGATGGAGACGATGAAAAACCGCAAGCAGAGCTTTTTCCCTGGAGAAGTCAAGTGCCTGACGCAGCAACTCCTGCTGGCGGTGGCCCATCTCCATGACAATTGGATATTGCATCGCGACCTGAAGACCTCCAACCTGTTGCTCTCCCACAAGGGCATCCTCAAAGTGGGCGACTTTGGATTGGCCAGAGAGTATGGCTCACCGATCAAGAAATACACCTCGCTTGTGGTCACCCTATGGTACCGTGCCCCCGAGCTGCTCCTCTGTTCGCCCGTTTACTCCACGCCCATCGACGTTTGGTCGGTGGGCTGCATTTTCGCCGAATTCCTGCAGATGTTGCCACTCTTCCCGGGAAAATCGGAAATCGATGAGCTTAACAGGATCTTTAAGGTAGGACTTAGATCACCATATCGATCATAGAAGCATTTTAAATAGTTTACTTTCTTAAATAGTTTTTTTAAGCTATATTCGATCACATTTAAGGCGATAATTTTTAGAATTTATTTTCTGATAGCACTAAACCTTTATTTTGGTTTCTTATGTTTCCAGGAATTGGGCACTCCCAACGAGAAGATCTGGCCCGGCTACACCGAGCTGCCCGCCGTGAAGAACATGCTGTCGCAGAACTCGCAGTTCACAGAATATCCCGTTTCGCAGCTGCGCAAGCACTTCCAGGAGAAGACCTCCGACATGGGACTGTCGCTGCTGCAGGGCCTGCTGACGTTCGATCCTAAACAAAGACTGACCGCCGACGCGGCCCTGAAGCACGGCTACTTCAAGGAGCTGCCACTGCCCATCGATCCATCCATGTTTCCCACCTGGCCGGCCAAGAGCGAGTTGGGAGCTCGCAAGGCGCAGGCCTCGTCACCCAAACCGCCGTCCGGTGGCTCGCAGTTCAAGCAGCTGGGCCGCGATGAACCCATCGCAGCCGTCGGTCCGGGAAACAAGCTCTCGTCCGGAATTATCACCGGGAACAAGAAGAGCCACGGAGCTGGGGGATCGTCGGCCAGCACAGGATTCGTCCTGAACTCCGGGCTCACGCAACGCCAGCTGGCCATGGGACCAGGATTCAGCCTGAAGTTCTGATTCGATGTTGGATTCTGTGTGTTTTTAGCCAATTACCATTACGATACTATTAATTGTTATGTATAGTTAGCGATGTAAGTGAAAAATTTCGTTTAATTGTATGTGTAAAAATATTGTTCCATATATAATTTAAAAAGCCATACAAAACAATTCTATCAATTAGCATTTTTTATATAAATATCAGCGATCCCTCAAATTAGGGTGGGTCGATTTAAGGATCATCTGGAAAATCGTAGTTGGAAAGTAATTTTTGGATATTTGAACTACATATTTCCCCTTCACTTTATTCGTCTACCTTCACTCAAAAAAGATGTTTCATTTGCATCAACTTCTAACGACTTATTCGTATGTTTATTTTTTTTAAATCTCTATAAGAATAATAATACAAATTAAAGACTCTGGCTATCTGAAAGCTCTTGAAACTAAGGTTTAGCTTTATGAAACAACGTAAAAAAATTGTTTATTTTGGCATTCTCAAAATGAATTCATGTTAATCCAATTATCTTAAGAATTTTAGGTGCAATTAGTTTATTTGTCCAGGGATTTACTTTCCTCTTCTGCAATGCTAAGCAACAAAAATCGACCCACCCTCTGTAAACACCCAATACATCCACACCTGCAACTTTAAAACTTAGCCTATGGGGGAATACTCTCACTGTATCGCCAGAATACCTAAGTGGACCAGAGGTAGAAGTAAGTGCTTTGCCACGTGGGAATGTAGTCTTTCAGGGGTCCGGCCACCACCTTTGCAATGGGTACACTGGTGGCCACAAAGTCCAGGACGCGCTCCAGCCTGGACTTGGTGAAACTGTCGTAGAACGGCGATCGGACCAGGAAGTACATAATGTTGATGCATCGCCGGCTCAGCTCCAGTTTCTGTTGTTTGGACATGAGATCGCGGTGCTGGCGGTACAGGTGAATGCTGTACAGATCGATGGACAGAGCTACCATATACTGCTTCCAGCTCCGCTGACCGAACAATCCCATGGCGGCCAGGTGGATGAGTGGCTTGGATATATACAGGTACTCGGCTTGAAGCAGTTTCTTTGGGATCTGCGTCTTCACCGCCTCATTGTTGTCCACATGGAGCTTAAAATCGCGATATTGTAGCGGTGGAGCACCCTCCACTTTACGGATCACTCGACCGGATCGCTTAAGTTGGAAGGTAATGGAGTGCTGGGACTGCAGCGCGTCGCTGGTGGAGGGCACCTCATCCGCCGAAGACTTCCTGTGCTTGCCCAGTGCCCTTCGGTTCAGTGAGGCGATGGGTGGCGAGGTGATTATATCCGAGGTGGAGTGCTTCAAGATAAAGAAACGCCCCGCCGCCTTGAAGGCCTGTATTAGCGCTATCACCAGCCACTTGCCGGATTGACCGAACAGCCGGCGGGCCGATATCTCGATGAAAACCTCGCTATATTCAAGTGTCGTCAGTGTGACCTTTAGACGGTAGCAAAGTTTCGATTGCAGCTGGATCACCGAATTCTCCCGGGCATTACGTTCCCGTTCGATGATCCGATCGTTGTAGAAAACCAGCATATTGGACAGCGTGTACACCAGCTCACTGACCACATTCGAAGAGGAAATGCGACCTGGAATCCGGCCAAATGTTAACTTTATGGCGTCTACGTAAACAATGAGTTCACTTCACCTGCTATAAAGTAGGATACCCACTTGGCAGTGGTCTCAAAATCACCCACCACATCCGGGTTTTTGGCCACCCACGCCTCGTACGCCTTCAGCATGCCCTTTAGAGTATCCATTATATCCGGAAATAAACGCCTATTCCTCGGAAAACCAAAATAAAATGAGGAAATGCGGCCTGCAGGTAAATCAAATCGGCGCAGCTGTGGTGTTCTGGATTTTATAAAACGCGTTAGTGCTTTCATGGGAAAAATCAGAAGGTGACGCAAGGTTTACTGCGAATATCGCTTACAACAGGGGTGCCCAAACATGGCTTATGGCAAATAAATTGGTGCGAGAGTTTTTTCTATTTCAAGTCGTTACTCGGAAAAAAATAAAAGCGATATTTTAAACCTGTAATGCAGATAATTTAGCATAACAATTATGAATATGCCTCTCCAAGTTAAATTTTTATTTTAAGACAAATAATGCATTTGTGCTCACAACGAAAATTTTCTGTAAACAAGAAGTTCATCGCTGTTATGTTGACCAATTTTCCAGCAACGAAAGTTTATGGCCGTTTAGCGCGGCTAACTTAGAAAGCTCATGTATTTTGTAATTATTTTTAAATAAAATAAATAAATAGTAATAGTAATTATATTGACCAATTTTCCAGCGACGAAATTTTTTGGCCGTTCAGCGCGGCTCACTTAGATAGCTCCTGTATTTTGTAATTATTTTCAAATAAAATAAATAAATAGTAAACTTAAAAAAAACCAATCATCTTTCACCTTAAAAATGTTCCCAAGACCGTCACAAAACTCATAAAAATTTCTATTAGGTTGTGACGTCACAGAACATCTGAAATACATTTGTAATCGTGAAATCCCTAACGCGATAAGGATTTCAGTGTGAGCCCAAGTCTTTGGCTCAGAAAGGTATAAATTCGATACCTCGATGTGCCATCGATAGTTTCGCAGCTCTACTTTGCGATCAAACTGAAAATAGCGACTGAAATCGGGGTCGCTCTGTTTTCGTGTAGATTAGCTTGGCAAGATTGAATTAAGAGTCGATATACAAATGTCCAGCAACAACACGGACACCGGGGACACAGCCATCATGGCCACGGCTACCTCCATGCAGCAGGATTTCGAGGCCGGCGGAGAGGAGTTGCTGCCCCGAGAATCGCTGGTAATATGTAACCCCCTCGAGTTTGTCTAATCTCTAATCCGACTATTCCGCCGCAGATAACCACTGCAGTAAGTTTTCTACAGAACACGAAAGTGCGGCACACGACGCTTATCCAGAAGCAGCAGTTCCTACGGTCCAAAGGTCTCACGGCCCACGAAATCCAGTTGGCTTGCGAGCGGGCCGGCGTCTTCACCCAAGACCCCAACAATCTGAATCCCAGTCCGAATACCGTGATCAGCATCGGCTCCCAGTTGCAGGCGTTACAGCCGCAGCCGACGGTCTTTGGCCGGATACGCGAGATCATCCATTCGACGGCCCTCTTCAGCGGAGTGGTCTATGCGGTCTACCTCTTCTGGAAGGTGAGTGAACCCGTGATTCCTTATTTTAAGGATAATATTATTATAAATTTTAAGTTACTATGTTCGGACGATTTAACTATAGGTTTCCATGAAATTTTGCTCTCAGAATAAAGCTTTAGAATTATTTTAAAACATATCTTAACATATATCATAACATATATTATCTATCAAATTTTAAAATATTTAGTAAGTATTGTTCTTCAGTAAACTAAATTACACAGATATGTCTATCTAACTTAGCTTTTTCATGCAAATATTCTAACATCAACAAAGATGTGCTTGAATTTGCTCCATAAATCGGTGTGAGAGTCCAAAGATTAAATTCTCGAGCTAATCCACATAAATCTTCAAAGGTGACAGTGCGGAATATTTACGATATTAAGTATTTACTTACCCATTTAGACTATACTAAACAAAAATATATTTCTTTTTCTACCATTACTTTAAGGGGGTCTTAAAAAAAATATTTAAAAAGTTTTGTTAAAATTGTAAAATTATTTTTATGCAAAATAATATCGCTAATGAATATTTTTTGAAAAATATAATAAAACTAAAAATTAATCATTATTTCTGACCAAAATCAAAAAAATTTCAAAAATAATAATTATTTGTAATTTTTTTGAATATCGCTTATAATGATTACGGGTCCCTGCTTTTAAGTTTATGAATAAACAAAATGAATAATGTAAACTAACTGATAAAAGTAGCCACTTAATTACGAAAACCAACACTATTTTTGCTTACAGAAATACATTGCACCCTATCTGTTTGGCAAGCCGAAGAAGAAGCCGGTCGAGGAAGTCCTGGACGACATTGACAAGAAGGTGGAGACGCGCACCAACGACCTCAATAAGGAGATCTCATCGGTCAGGGATCTGATCACCAGCCAGCAGAGGGAACATGCCCAGCAGCTGAATCGCGAGTTTAGCAACTTCCGCAGCGATCTGGACGCCATCAAGGGTCTGCTGTTAAACCGCAAACAGTTTGCGGGCCCAGTGGCCCCGCTGGCAGTGCCATCCATTCCCGCCTGGCAGTTGGCCGGTTCTCCGCATCATCACCACCGGCACAGCGGGTCGGACGACAATGAGAAGGGCGATGATGCTGGCTCCGGATCCGGATCATCGGAGACCGAGGTGGTCACCAAGAATAGTGACTCCAGCTTGGAGATCATGTAATGTAGTAGTTGGAATACGAGGCTGGCTATATAGATGTAGTATATAGTTAAGCTGCAGAACGTTTGTAAATTGAGTTTGCCCTTTAATGCCTTTAAGACTTTTTGGTTTTTTGCTTTGCGTTTATAGCATTTAAGTTTTTTTTTTTTATAGTCAACAGCTAATCCATATCCAAAAGTACATACACACACTCACATATACACACTTATGCGATACGATGTCTATATAATGTAATAATAAAAAATGTTTACATAATAACAGGTTTGAATTTAAAGAAACTGTTTAATAAGCGCAAAAATGCTGTTGTGTGGTTTTTTTTTTATCGGTACATACGGGGTGGGGGTAGCATATCGATTTAGATAATTAATTTCGACTTAGACGATTATTGGTTTGTTAAAATTTTACCGAGTGCTACTTTCTATAAATTGGCTAAATTCCCTTTAGTTTGATTTAAGAATATGCTAAGCGGCGCTCCTAAATGAGTTTAATACAAACTCTTCTAAGAGTCCACTCAGATCCTAAATGATTTTTAATTAATTTATTTATTGTGCGGTGCGTAGTTATCATTTTGTTGTTATTACAAATTTGGTTCTCTGCGCTTTCCGTATTTCGCTTCGTCTTCAATTAACTTTCTTCGCTACTTACGTTAATTTTTATCGATTTGTACATACGATAATTTAGTAATTAAATAATTTTCTGCCGTTATTTAAAGTATATATATATATCCTAGTAAGTTAATAGTCTCACAAAAGATTGTTAAGGGCTTCATAGTTCGTTTTAATGTGTGTTTTATTTGATGTTTCGTTTTGTGAATGGAAAACCATTGCGGAATACCCTGAAACAAGGATAGAGAACCATACCCTATCCATACTAAGTATGCATAATTAGAGTCTTTTGTGGGGTATCTTGGCCCTTGTTTTTTGGGTATACATAAGATAAACAGCGGCCAGGCCGGGATTTATCAGCTATTTCAAATTAAATATAACATATTTACAATTAATTATATCTTGCGATTGGGGTAATACCAGCTGCCAAGGGCCGAGCAATGTATAAATTTGAAAAAACAAACTTTGATAAAAAAAAAAATAGAAAGTATGTATAACAAAACATTGCATTTTAAGCATTTTAAAGCATTATGTTTGCTGCAAACGGAATTTAAAAAATTGCAATACGGATGAGCATAATTTGTTCGATTCCGAGTGAGCAAAATTTTATCGGATTGCCTGAGCAGTGTGTAAATTTGAAAACACTTTTTTAAATGGCAAACAAATGTAAAACAAAATGTTGCGTGTTTTTGCGTTTCGTAATTCCAATAAGTGTGAAAACGGAATTGATAAGTTTGTACTTTACCAAAAAAAAATCGAAAACAGTGTTTTCTGGCATAGATTTTAAACCACAATATCGTTTCCGATTCCGCAAATTTAAACCAAAAATCGACATAAAATTGGTAACATGGCTGGTCGTGTGACATTTACCCCAATTGGTTTTTGTTTCCTTCTCATATGTATCCCTAATTTATGCTAACAGAAAGTGCACAGATAGTGTGGACAAAATAGACCCATGTATGGATTGAAGGATCCTAAAAAGAATCCCCTCTAGACGGCTGAATTGATGACCGCCTGTGTGGAGGCGGAACTACTGATGCTGTTGGCCTGGCCAAAGGCAGATCCGGCACCAGCCGTCGATGTGCTCGCCGTGGCCGTAATGCTCACCGCTGCCGCTGTGGCGGATGTCCCGCCATCCGGATAACCTCCCGAGGCCGGAGCCGGCGAGAGGGACATAGTCGATGACGATGGCGAGGAGCAATCGCTTTGCACACTCATCGTGGGCGAGGCAGCCACTAGATTGCTGCTGCTGCTCGTGTTGCTGATGGTCAGCGGAAACTGGGGCGGCGGATTACCGGTGGGCGTGTGCGGTGACAATGGCGACATCGAGGACGAAGTGGCAGCCGGCGATGGACTGCTGCTGGCGCTCGTTGTAATGGCTACGGAGGAGCTGTTGCTGTTGACTCCACTGTTCGTACTGGAGATTGTTGTTGGAGCGGTGGATGCGGCCGATGGAGGTGTCGCTGGCGACTGTTGGCTGGAGTTTACGCCAGCAGCTGCCGCCGCTGCTGCTGCTCGTTCACGCTCCCGATCGCGTTGCGGCCGAAAGGCCTCACGAAGCGCCTCAACGCGAATCTCGTTGGGTCCCCAGCGCGCATAGCCGGCGCTGTTTTGGAGCCACACCACCTGGGTGCCCTGCATGCACTTGATAAGCACATCGGATCTGCGATGAAATGAAATGAGTTAGTATTCTTGGGGAACCTTTTCTATATCTTACTTTTGCAACATGTGCTGGTAGCCGTGCCTGTACTCGTGGGCCATGCCCAAAACCACCATGGAGCGCCGTTTGTACATACTCTCGTCCAGTTTGGATATGCTCTTCCACTCCGGCAGAAACACAATGAAGCTGGATTAAAGTAAAGAAAATAATTGTGAGATTATTAAGAATATTTATCTAGGAAAAAAACATGAAATACAAATAATTTGTTATTGAAATTAATAGATAATTTTAGAATGTCCAAAAGGAAATCACTTTTTAAATTGCTTTATATCTATGAGTATTTACAAAACCCTTAATTAACTAAGGTTTTAACACATTTGCATTTAAATTAAAAATCTAATATTCTACAAATCCACTATATACTGCTAGTTGGCCATTTAATTTTAAAACGATGAAGTAAGGCTGATTTTGCAATATTTTTTCAATATTTCCTAGACAATATAATATAGTTTTGTAGTCAATTAATATTTGTAAGTATTCTGAGGTGCCAATCTGATTTTATTTTATTTGGAAGACCATGGGTATATGTTTATATGTTTAAAAATAACGAAGATATATTTTAAAATAATTTTTCCGGTTTAGCTTGGAAAGAATGGTTTGCTTGGAAACGGATGGACAAATTGAAATGGCTATTTTAACTTGTCTAACAATTCTGATTACTACATTAAAATTATTACAAATGTCTTCTTCCCTACAAGGCAAACTTTTGACTGAAGTTAAATTAACATGTCCTTAAATCTTACCTCAGTGGTTCCATGGTGTCGGTGAGCAGTTTGTCGATGTGCAGCAAAGAGGCCTCGATCAGTTCCTCGCAATGAGGAGGATTCACTTGGAAGGACCCGGAAACGGGCTTAAAGTCCAGAAATGGGCTGAAACGTAGCCAATGACCATTGGTTAGCTATAATTTAATTGTATTTATTGGCCAACTTACCCCCTGGAGCCGAAATAGGCATCCGTGTCGGCGAACGCCGAACAGTACTGCCGGAAATAGGAGTTGAATGGCGAGGCAAAGCACTCGAAGCTGACGCCAAAGTGTCGATGTAGACACTCGAACACGGGCACCGGCAACGCCGCCTGGGTGAGCTCCGCCTCCTGGGAGGAATTCAGGGCATTGCCCAAGAAGGTCTGGTACCGCTTGAGCAGACACCACACCCGGCCGATGAACAGATCGAACTTCTTGTCATCGAAACAGTTGTGCCGATACAGCTGCTCCAGCTTTTGCAGATAGGTGAGGTTGATGTACTGCGCATCCGGCTGATTGATCGTGGCGGGCGTGTACTTAATGATCATGTGGTCGCGATCCTGCAAATACTCGATCGTTGGCATCCGTGGCGATGGGACGGCAAACTGTATGGGATAGCACCACACTTTCTTCAGATGCGGCGGTGGCGGCGGAGGTGTTGGTTCAGGGATTCCGTGCTCCTTCAGAAGCTGCAAATGGCGCTCCCGGATCTTGCGGGCATGATCCGCCGACAAGTGATAGATCTTAACGCACAGGGTTTCCACCGAACTCTTGACAGTCTCCACCAAGTGGGGTTCACACTGCCGCTTCAAATGGGCTAGACGATCCTGGAAATCCTCGTAGCTGGCACCCACTGTCCGTCTTAGCCACTGGAACGTGTCCTCCACATTCCACTTGACCACCTTCTTGGATTCAGCCGGCGCCGATCGGGATTCTATAATCTGTTTGGCTGCCTCTGCATAGCGGGAAAGCTGCTTCCTGGCATCTCCCGTGAACTTGGGTTTAACAATCTTAATGGGTATATCCGACATGATCTCGCGGTACATGGAGCTAGAGATCTCCGGCAGGCAGCTACTGGGCAGCAACGGATCGCAGCCGGTGTCAATGACCTTGCGTTCCATTAGCCAGCGAATAAAGGAATCTCTGGGTGCCTTAATATTCTCCCTGCGCATGCACAGATCCTCGTAGGTTTTCAGTAACTTCATGCTAAAGGCCGCCCGTACAGCCTCCACTTCGGGATGTGGTTGTGGCAGGAGAGTCGGCGGTCGCTCCACAATCACCGCATTGGTACACACCTCCAGGTCCCAGGGTCCTGCAAGAACGAACTTCTTCATCGGCGGCCCCCCGCCGACATGATGCTGCTGATTGGGATGGATGTGCATGTCGTCCGACGGCCGACGCTTCAGGTGATGATGGTGATGCTGTTGCTGCTGGTGCATATTGGGGGTCATGGGCGTGGGACCGCCCGCATGGCAGATGCCCAAGGGATCGGTGAGCGGATCGAACGGTCTCGTGCCGGGCATCTCCCACAGCGATTCGCCGGTTACCTTGTTCCAGTAATATGGGCGGTTTTCCCGCTTCGACCAGAACTTGCGCCATCCTTGGTTAACCAGCTCGGCAGTGAGTTCCTCGCCATAACCACCAGGTCCCAGAGTTGGAGGACCCTGTGGCGTATGGGCCATGCTCTCCAACGGCGAGGGACCATGTGACTTCGTGGGCGTTGATGGGGAGGAGCAACTGGCCACCGGTGAACTACCTGCCCCGCTTCCCGGGTTGTCCGGTAATATGGGCCCAGTGACCGTGGGAGCACCTGCCGTGGGTGAGGGTGACATATTGTTGGAGGCACTCGCCGTCAGCTGATCCCAAGCACTCTGCGCGGCGGAGGAGGCTGACGAGGTTGAGGAACTGGAGGCCACGGGCGCCGGCGAGGATCCCATTCCCGGAGTTCCCGTCGACGCAATCACGGACGAGGGCATGCCCCCCGTCGCCGTGCCAGCGACCAGGTTGTGTATGTTGCTATTGTTGTTGTTAGCTGCCATGCTGCGGGATTATTTCTGCAAGAGCGAGGTAAACAATAACAAATGTTTACAATTGGAGAGGAAAGGAGAGCGAGAGAAGAGCGGCTGATTTGTTGGAAAAGGGGTGGGGGGAAAAGCGAGACAGCGAGAAGAAACGATAATCAATGTTCAGTGATGGCAAATTATTTATTTTGGCGAATTATTATTTATTATTATTTTTTTACTCATAATAGTATATATCTTTTGACTTTTAACAAAACATTAAAAATAAAAAAATATTTGTGGACCAGGACATATGGGGCACTTTTGTGAGAATCTTGTCAATTTACCGAAGTAACTTTTTAAATGCTGAACTGTTCTTTGAGCCATTTTAGTCGTGAGCCATAGGAGTCTAGAGCCCCATGAGCTTTTCCGTTTTAGATTAGATTAAATAGATCATTTTAACAGTACAAGAGCTGAGGCATTCGAACCTAAAATATTTTTAACATGATTTACTCGAACCTATTTTTTTAAATGTGAGTCAAAGGGTCTTATAGAAACCATTGAAATGAAACGCGGGTGACTAAAATCCAGTTCTAGCGGGAAAAAAGGCCAACTAAGCATTGCCATCGCAGCAGATAATGAAGTGAGCGCGCTTCGGAATCGGAATCGAAGAAACCACCACCAGAGAGCTATAACTGCCGTTAGTCGGCAACAGACACTCAGCGGAGCGAGATCGGGGGCGCGCAAGAGTCGTTAGAAACAATGTGCGGGGGCCGTGGGGCGACTAGTAAATTTAATATTTTAATAAAGTCTGGATATCCCAAAAGACAGAATTCAGTCCTTTTCAAACAAAACTTTATATTTGCCGCCCACATATTTGAAACAACAAAGAGAGAGGCGGTGCGCATGGGAGAGAGAGAGACAAAGAGAGCGAAAAAACGCGCTCTCTCACGAACGAGAAATCAAAACAAATTGCAAAAGAATAGAGATTTTCTGCCTGGGTTATGTGTATATGTTTTGACGAGCGTGTACCAAGCGTATGCGCACCGCCACAAGCAGAATAAAAAATATACAAAATAATTTGCTGCACTCGCACACACACACACACACTCGCTGGCTCACAAACGCACACCTGCACACAATGCAGGCATATTATGCACGCCATATAAACAATTGCGAAAAAAAAATTACACTTGGTTTCGTGGCCCCGACGGCTACGTCATAGCACTAAAATAATGGCGCGCTTTTTTAATGCACCCAAAATTTCGCTAAAAATTAAAGAAAAAACATAATCCATTGGAGAACTCGTAATGGGCGAACTTTTAATTCGTTTGAGGGGGAGTGGGACTGCGCTGGATAAATAAACAACATTCTGGGTGCAACGAAAATTTCTCTACACTTTCTTTTTTGCACCCACCGAGGCACAGGCACATCAATATTTTCCATTTTATATACGCCTGCTGCCTGGCATCGTGTGGTCGTACTGCTCGAAACGCCCAGAAACGCCACAAAACTCACCTAGTTTCAACTATCCTAGTCTGATGAACACGCGCTACGTGTTTGCAAACATTTAGGCGTGCTCTGGACGTAAATATTCCCGCGATTTTCTATGAAAATGTATAAATAAGTTCTTCTCAAATTCTTTTTCAGCGACGAAACTCGGGGCAGTCGAATCGAGATGGCATTGCGGCGATATGCGCGAAGTATCGATTGCACGCTCTCTTCCGCCCTATCGCTTGCCTTGGCGCGATTAATAGTTCCCGATAGTTTTGCTGATTTTATTACGTTTTGTAGGCATACCCTTAATATATCGAATTTCAATAACTTTTTTTCAAATAGGAATAAAATAGCAGTAGATGTAACACAAAAAAATTCCAAAAGAAATTTAAATTTCTAGATGCACAAGTTCGGCGAAATGGTGCAAAACAAAAGATTTCAACTTTGATTTCTTTTGGTACTCAAATATATGTTCTTTTGAATCGATCAATGAATGTTTGGAATGTTTAACAATAATTTATTTTTAGTTTATCGCCTGCAGTTTTAGACAAATTTCTATGCTTATGTTGAGATCTGGTTTGTAACGGTTAATAAGCCGCAGCAAGTTGAACTTTTTCGCCTTGGAGTTGTTCGATTCCAACTCGTATAAAGTCGAAAGATTGACCAGCAAACTCTCGTTCAGGGATTTCTGGGGATTCAGGTTAATAGCCCGTTCGTAAAGGTTTATAGCATCCTTGAGCTTTCCGGCATATAAAAGGCACACTCCCATGTTGTTCAGAATCATTGTATTGCCGGTATCCAAGTGCAGAGCTTTCTGAAATATCACATAAGCCTCGGGAAAATCATTTTTGGCCACAGCTATTAGTCCTTTGTCCACCAGGTCTCTTAGATCTGGAGAGGAGTTTCTAAATTAAATTAAAGAAATTATTAAAATACAAATATCTTTGGTTTGTGTAGTTATAGCTTACATTTCTCTTAATCTTCTTGAGACGGCAAACTTTTGTTCTGCTCCAAAAATATCACCGATTTGGAGATAAATGCGTCCCCAGGCGGAATACAAGAAACGCTGCTCCTCCTTGCTAAGGTTTCCCCGCTTAAGAAGAGTTCCCTCCATTATGTCGTCTATCATACTGAATTTCTTCATCTGCAAGTAGAATGTTATTAAAGTATTTTATTAACATTTTGACTCTCAAACTTACCATTAATCCACAGTTGATAATTGAGTGCAGGACCCTTTCGCATCGCCTTTGCCAAAACTCTTCAGCCTGCTTGTTGCGCAGATTTGCATAGTGTTCCTTGATCTCCCGACTGGTCACATGAAGTTCTGAGAGTCTGTCCAAGGCGATGTGCGGTTTGCCCAGGTAAATGGGCAACTCTGCGAGCAAAAGTCTGAACGAAAAGCATGCTATGGAACCGCTCTTGCCGTTGTACATCTCCGGATAGAAGTCGTAGAAGACATCGGGACTGCTGAGCTGGCCAAAAGGTTCCGCCTCGGCGTTCAAAAGCTCGAACTCGCCTAGTTTGGCGAGGAGGGCTAGTCGGGTGAACCACAGTTGCAGGGAGTGCGGCGAATGCTTGGCCGGCTGACCAGATCTTCCATATCCCTGGCCGTAAATGGTCAGGAGGCGGCCAGTTAGATTCACAGCCGTACGATAGCAACCGGCATGGATTAAGGTTCTCAATCCGCGCTCATCCTGTGTGACATCATCGACGCGGAGGATTTTACGATAGGACAACTCGGCTTCTCCCAGGTGCTGGGCCACTGCCACGCTGATAGGATCGGTCTGAAAAAATCAAATAACATGGAGTAACACCAATGTAAATTCCCCTCTCTTTTGGAAGCGACAACTTACCAAATCATTTTGCAGGTGAATTCCGGGCATTATCAGTTTGACCGTCTCGTTTTCCCGTGGCAGCTCCCACAGGTTTCGCACCTCGTCACTGACCTTTATGGAGTCCTCTGCCGCCTCAGGTGTCTCAACATATTCGGGTGGCTGGAAAACTCCGGTGAAGGTGTTGGACAACATGTTGCTGCTGGAACTGGTGTTGCTGTTGCCTGTGGAAGTGACTTCTGCTGACGCGTCCTTGGACTTGGATTTATTGGCCAGCTCATCGAAAAAACTGGGCGGATCGTTTGCAAAATATTCGCTTATTTTATTTGACATGTCTTTTGCTGAATGTTTTTCGATAACTTATTGGAGATGGCACTATCGTCGCTGCGTAAGTAAAAAATATCGGCTCTGACTGGCGCCAATAGTTTACATGTTCAAAACCAGTATGTAAAGTTTAAAAATGTCTTTCAAAAGTTGTGGGCTAAAATATATGTATTATATTATTAAGGACCTTAAACTTTTAAGTAATTAAATCATTTTGAAAAAGGAAAAACAATTAATAGCTTATCTAAAAGGAAAACATATTGTTAAGTTCAATTATATGATTAATTTACCGCTTTTTTAAATAGACAACTTTGACAATTCCCAATTCAAAGGGCACAAATTTGGGTCTTTCATTAATTGATGTTGAATTTTTAACGATTCATTCGTTTAGGAAGGATAGCACCCTTTCATAAAATTAAAATTACCGTTTTTAAATTAATTACAACAACAATTAAGTAAGAAAAACCTGAATCAAATAGTTTTGGTTCGTATCCCTTCATTAAGTGACCAAATTCAAAACACAGGATACTTTGTGCCTGACCACTATTTATCCCATTTTTGATAAAAAAGTGGCACTTTAATTTCCTATCGATTACTGGTCTTTCAAACCATCACTACTAGAACCGCGTACAGCTTTTTCATAAAAATTAGTATCGCGTCCCCTTCAAATTGGCGAATTCCCCGAAATGTCGAACGCAAAAATCCGTAAGTTGAAACACTTTTGTTTGAACTTAGCAACATTATAATATATTGAATACTTCCAGAAAAATTTAATATTGACCGATCTCTCTACAAGAAATTAAGCGATTCAGACATTAAAAAAATGCTTAACTTCGTCAAGCGGAAAAAAGGACAACCGGTACATGGATCTTAGCCCTTATTTAATTAATTTTTTTTTTGTAATTGAGATGTACATATGTATGTATTTTGTGTTTAAGATGCCCTCTGCCAGAAAGTATTTCGAAACCATGATAGAGGAAACGGGAATCGAAGGATCTTGGCAGAACATGAGATCCGAACTGCAATTCCTAAAAATGACGCTGTCAAGAGCAAATTCTTGGCTGAATAATGTTGACTTTTCGCGGAATAACAAGGAAATGGCAATAGGTAAGGGAATATTTCTAAAACAACATACAATTTCGTCGAATCCTCTGTTCAGTGGATAGAACAAGTTTAATAAGAAAGCAAGCAAGCTTCGACAGGCCTTAGTTTATATACTTGCAGCTAAAAAATGTGATGTTCTACAGAACAACTATCAATTTCTCTATGTTTTTATAAAAATAAAGTTAAGTAGATTTTACGATAAATCTTTCCTATGGAAACCATATGATATAGACGCTCGCATCGTATTTATATAATCGTAAATAATATATTTTCTGAATCAAATCTACACCCGTTACTCGTGTAAAAAAAGGTAATACTGTGTTCGTTGAAAAGTATGTACTTTTAGACACAGAAGATTTTAGTTATGAGGCTTTACGTGTTTATCGGTCTATCGATCAAGCCAATATTTTAGAAGTTATCATATTTTTTTTTAAATTGGTTAGCATAGTAACGGGGCACTCGTCTATAGCATTCAGTCTTGTTTTCAATGACAGCTATATTATACTGTCGTGAGATTTTTATAACATTTGTATTAAAAGTACAAATATTTTTCCGATTGTTCCTCTGTTAATGATAAGATAAAATCGTCCGATACTGCAATAGATAGAAGAGTTTTGGGAGTGATTATCCGGATAGCTTTTAAACTGAGAGACTTAAAACTGTCCGTCATGGATAGATCGTCTCCACCAGTGATGCAGATATATATCAACAATTTTCACCTATTTTAAAAAGGACGTTTGTGGGTAATTCACTACAAATTAAAAGGCAATATCTTAATGTACAAGAAAATGGAAAAAAATTGTTTTAAAAAAACCATAAACCTATCTGTTTATTATTCATACATAAGTAAGAAACCGTCATTTTAATTTTTAAAAATAATGTTAAATATATTTTTTGTTTTCCAGACTACGCACGTGACCGTTATTGCCCATATTATGATCAGCTAGTTGAAATATTTGGTTCCGATTTTAAAACTTTAGAAGCGTTGAATAAAAACAATAGCTCTTCCGGCTCCGATGAAAAACAGAATCAAGCTGGTACTTCTAAGCCGAGAATCTCAAGGAGGGAAAGCTCTCCTCAGACAGCTAAATTGCAGAACGAGAATATTCACCTTCAACGGATTAAAACGAATGAGACAGCAGAAATTGAGGAAAATAAAGTTAAAAACCAATTCCTTGTCAGAAAATTAGAACTGGAGGAGAATAAGAGAATTGCATTGTCCGAGATTAAAATGAAATACAACTAACTAAAGTCAAAAAGTCAACTAAACACCCTTCAATGATCTATTTTTTTCTGAGATTTCGAATTTAGTTTTATGTTTAAAATACGTTCTTTCCTTGCTTATATACTTTGAATTTATATTATTTATGTTAACTTAACTAAAAATTGTTGAGTATGCTTAAGATATGATTAAGTATGTCAATATGATTTAAATGTCGAAAATTTGAGATATGATTTAAGTCGAAATGTGTTTTTATTTTAGGAAAAAACCCGTCACTTCACTATAATATTAATTTGTTCTTTAGTTTTTTACCCAGAGTTTTTGAATTGTTTATTTTTTGTTGTACTAGTAAACGGACATTCATTACAGGATATGACTTACTCTTCTGAAATAAAATTCGCAGAAACATAGTATTTCGAATTTATTGATCTACTGCCATTTGTTTTGTTATTATTATTGTACAATACATAAAGCAAAAATTAATTTATTCTAAGGCTAACGAAGAAGTGCCATTAGATGACCATTTATCCATTTGCTTTTGTCCTAACTTAAAAACGCAATACGCTTTATTTACACAAAAAAACAGCCTCGCCTGGATCGAGGTTTATTGCCCATTGAAAATCGTTTCGGGATAATAGCTGGGAGCATTGAACATGCGCGGGAAGCCGTTTCCATCCAATTGGCCCACAGGCAGCACCGACATAATGTCACTGAAATGAAACAAATAACAATGGGAATTACAGTCAGGCAATTTATAACAGCATATAACTCACTAACTGATTATTAGACTGGTTTATTTAGTTAGGAATTAGTTAGAGTTAGAAATTTGTTGTTTCGTATTATATAATATTTGGTTTGAGGGAAGGCCTTTTTACATAAATTACTTTGGCTGCTTTCAGATATGAAGCTTAGCAATTGTATATTTTACACCAATTGTTTAATTAAATAAAAAAGTCGCCAACGACAAAAAAGGATGGTATTTTAGTTGTTGATATCACATACAGTTTATATTTTTAAGTGCCAACACATTAAAAATGGAATGAATGCTTAAGCTTAAAAAATATGATTTTCTTTGTTTTATACACAGCAACACAAAAAAATAAAGTAATATCATATATTAACTAAAAATGAATTTTAGTTTATTCTAATATTTTCGCAGTCGTTACAAAAATTCACAATATAATCAAGCCTTGTTACTAAACACTTTCAAAGCAGTGCACCGAAAAAGAAACTAACTAAATAAAACAGCTTAGATATTCTGAAAATTTTCTTTAGCACTTTCTCCCCCATTTCTCTCGAACCATTTAAGTTTCTAATAGTCTTAGTATGCACAAACTCTTATAACTCAGTTATAAAAAAATGGACTATAAATTTGTACATTATTCCATCTGATGTCCAATAAAATAAAATATTGGATTGAAACTGGAGAACTCCACTATTAAAGTTTCTTATGTGAGCAGAGTAACGTTCTAGTTATAGAAGTGAGACTGTATATTTTTTAACAGCTAAAAAGAACACATTTAGTCCACTTGTGAGTTCGAATGTGGTATGTGGTGTGCTGCAATTTGACGCCCCTGGAGAGGCGATGCGATCGAGCAGCGGGATCCGGGATCCGGGATGAGGGACGAGGGATGAGGGACGAGGGATTCGGGGTGCGATGAGGGGCACATGCTACACGCATGCGCTGCGTTAGGAGCCGGGCACGTCCCGAGTCCCTTGGCTCTATAAATATGCAGAGGACCGTGCAAGGAGCCGGCCGAAATTGGACATAAAACACGCTCAAGTGGGCGGACTGGACGCACAAGTGTTTTACGGTCACTTACAAACGATTTTTAATGCCAATTCGAAAAACAATTGATTATATTCGTTCGGATTTCGAAGTTTCGTTCTAGGGCGAACTCGGCTCAAGTGTTGAATGAATTGTTTTACGAGTTATAAGGAAATGGAAACTGGCATGTCGGGGTTACCAAGTGACGTTCAGGGAAATAATAAGAAAATCTAAACTACACTCAAAACGGAAATATGTAACTTCGATTTTTTCAGAGTAAACCAAACTAAACATTATTCACTGAACTAAAATCATACTTTTTACTTTCATGTTTTCTGAATTTTAGGAATGATTTTATATTTGGCTAATTTCATTTGTATGATTTTCAAATCCTTATATTCTTTTTAAATTGTTGATCAATAAGTTATATTCCTAGCTTAATGTTTTTAAGAAGAAAATTTGACTAGGTTACCACAGAAAGCTGTTAAACTATAAAAAAGGCCTTAAAATCATTGGGAGAAAAAAAAAAACATTGTTAAATCATCTAAGGAGAAAATTACTGAAACCATGTTTAAATTGAGAATAGCTTTTAAATTATATGAGTTTTCCTGAGTTTCGCTCTTAAGCACTATCATTGATTTCACAGTAATGCAAAGGAAAATTATTTTCAAAAGAGTATTGCTACTAAAAAAAATATTTCATTAGATTTCTTAAAAGCAATGACAATGGAAATGTGTTTTATTAGCATTGAAAAACCTCGCATTAGATGCCAAGAAAGTAATGAACAGAACCCAAATTTCATTAGATGCCAATAAAAAATATTTCATTAGATTTCTCAAAAGTAATGCTACTGAAATAACTTTACATTAGAAAGTATTGCTAATGTTAATGAAAAATCTATTAATTAAAATTACTTAATTACCATTGATTTTTAAAATGCCTAGTTTTTCTTGATAAGAACTCTGAAACTTTTTTTTTTAATTGATTATAAGAAGGTGCTTTGGCTAATAATTAGTAGCTTTCTAAAAATGTATTATTATACGGCATACATAACGTAACGTAATACGTATTTACACTCCTGAAGAATTCGCGGTTCATATTCTTATCTTGTTCTTATGTGAATTCCTAATTAAAAAGTTTTTATGAATGCGCCTCTTATTAAATGTAAAAGCTTTTTAAAAACTTCTCTTCTAAATAACTTGCTGAATTATTATTAAATTTCAAAACCACCTTAGAAAAGTAGTTAATTAGTCACAACACTGTTTGATAATAGTTTTCTGTCTTGTATTAACCCCTTTGTATTATTTTTAAAACCACTAATTCAGCCTATTTTTTTTAGTGGGTACTTAGGTGTAGGTGTGGTTTCAACTGGTTGACTCTAAGACTGGCTCAACTTACGGTCTCTGCTGGGGCGTGCGGTCCCTTTGGCGACGGTTCTTGAACCAGTTGGAGACCTGGGTGAGCGTGAGGCCGGTCTTCTTGGCCAGCGTCTTCTTCTCGTCGGGCGTGGGATAGCGATTGGTGAGGTAACAGTCCTTGAGGGCATTCCGCGACTTCTCCTTGAAGCAGTACACCGTCTCCTCGCCATCCCAGATCGTCTTGGGCAGCGGATACTTTTTCCGCAGGCGGTACTTGTCCACCGCCCCGAGTGGACGACCGCGCACCTTCTCGGCCTCCTTGTAGTGCGCCTTAAACCAGAGATTCTGCAGATCCACATGGTATTTGATCGAGAAGCAGTGCGCCTCCAGCAAATTGTACAGCTCATGGAACTGGCCCAGATTGTAGGCCACCATGGCACGGGCCCGCAGGACACTCTCGTTGGTCTTGAAGAATTCGCTGGGTGGCAGGCTGCAGAGGAACGTGGTCAGCTTCTCGATGTCACCCTTCTGCTGCAGAGCCTCGCACATGCACTGGATCTGGAGCAAATATCAGAAGTGAAGTAGGTTCTCGATTTATATTTATTTTTTAATTTTTATACGATTTTTAATTTCTTTTTAACCCTTAAATCTAGGATCTCTTACCTGATCCGTGGAGAACTGCAGCATTTTGGCATCGATGGGAAAGCTGCCTACTGCGGACATATTGTGGGCGGACGTGAGATTGGAGATGAGGTGACCACCACCACTTCCAGGATTACCGCCCAATCCACCGGCACTCCTCTGCAAGCCGCATAAGGAATCCGTTTTCGTGTTCCCATTGAGATCCCCCAGGTTTGGCCCACTGCCGTTCTCGAATATTATGCTATTTAGGCTGGGATAGTGGGTGGGCGTGGTCGAGGCGGTGGGCGGCGGCGACTTATCATAGTCGTTGGTTATATCCTGGAAACGTCGCTCCAGCAGATGATCCTTTTCCGCCCCCTCATAGGGTGCAAATTTATCTAATTGTAGAACTGTTTTGCACGAAAGGTTTCCTCGATAACCTTAATATTAAAGATATATACATTATTATTTAAGATTGTAAAAACAAAATAACAAACATTACAAATAAATATTTTACATGAAGGTTTTTTTAAACTTTTTTTTTTATTAAATATTTTTTTATATTTAATATGTATTATATGCATCACTTCGCCAAATATAATTTGCTGTCATTTAAAATCTTGTAGGTATATTTTGAATATATTATTTTAGATTTTGCAGTAAGACTTTCACTGGAAAGCGTTGCAACTTAAATTTTGATAATATATTTCAAACATAATTATAAGCAATAGATAGCAAAATAGTTAATCAAATAATTTATTTTCTAGAAACTCTAAATAATTTCTGGAAGATTTTCAAAGAACTGTCTTCGAAATCCACTACGTTTATCTGACACCCAAGATTAGTTATATATCGTTCGTTCTCACGTGCCATTTCGGTGGTCAATGAAAGACCCCACCTTCCCCCAGGGGACCCCAAAATCAGAATGTGACTAATCGAATACCCGACATCGCCGAAGCGATCGTTGTCTTTCGACACCTCAGACGGGGACTGTGGATCATATTGAGGCCCGAAAGAGACATCAAGCAAATAAATAAATAAATGCGATATGCTTACGTACATGTGCATAAGTAAATTTGTGTGCATGTGCAGTTGTGAATATGTAAATGTTATAAAACATAATTCATTTGATGGTGCATTGCTTGGGGTAACGAAATAAATGGGCGAATTGCGGGTGCCCTTTTTTGTAAATAGATTAAGTTGTATTTACTAAGATAATAACTAATAAAGTAAATGATCTATTTAGTTTAATTAAATATGTTTAATTTACTATACTT